AAATTAGTTCCTTTTACGGCGACTTGTAATCGCACATGCTTGCCTTATTCGCGCCTGTTATTTGATATAGCTTATGCATTCCTTCTAGGACTTATGGTACGGTTTTATTACCAGAAATTTGTCTATTTAATAGGTTTTATGTTATTCTTAATCTTACGGAATATCATACAACTAGCTGCTTTAAGATTCTGAAACATGTCATATTATTTAGAATGTAGTTGAGTGTACGAATTGAAAAGTAGATACCTAATCACAATATTAGACAACCAAGCTTCCATCCTTCTTTTAAGGTGCATTCTTCCTTTACATACGTACAAATGTTAAAGAAAATTATAAGAAATCCAAGCCTTAAAAAAATTGTTTATAATTTTTAAAAATGTTAAAATACAAAGATTCCCTTCACAATAACTTCTTAACTGATTTCCTACAGTCGCTTCTCTGCGTGTTTTTTGAAATATCTTCGCGCAGCTTTGTGGTAAGTACCTAATAAATCTCTCTCTTGGGTCCAAACATACTTTATATGTAATTTCAATTAGACAGAACCATGTTCCCTCTCATAGCAAAAAACGTTTGTACTAGGTACTTACCCACGTAAAAAGGATGTTGACAGTTGATGATACAAAAATCAAAGAAAAGATCTCGAATAGCAGCGTATCTTGCTGTGCAATTTACAAAAGTCAACCAGGGAAACGGCAGGATTAATAATGCTTGCGAGCAATGAGCTATCCGCCTGTCTCCATCCGAGCAATATTGCAGTTTTAAATCGGACACCTTATTAGTCAGCCCGTACACAACACGCTTGGCGCCGCTTGGTTTCTATTTTCAACATAAAATAACGTCACCTATCTAATCACACGCCTTATTTATTGGGAACGACAATAAACAAAAATGTCTATTATAATTATTGACTTTTACCTATGTGATTTGTATGAGTTTTTACTAAGTAGATAAGTCTCTCGTTGATAGTTCCCATCTGAAAGTTTCTCCTATTCTCCACAGGCAAAAAGGTTAACGTGATATTAATTTCATGAACCTTCACAACAGAACCTAACTAAATTACTATGATATATGGCGTCGAAGTTATTTATAATGGTATGCTAGTGTGTGAACACGACGATTATTATAGTTTGACCTTTGAACAAACGCCTCAAGTGCTGAACAACACCTTAATAACTTCGAGTGATGATCCCTTTAACGCCATATTAATCTTGTCTGCTGGGAAATTATAGGTAACAAGCCTTTGCGCACGCGCTACCTCGCCAATCAGGACACTACTTCCTAGCCCTACGCGCAGGAAGTCGATGAAGGTGGACGAACCGGACCGATGAGTTATTTTTACTTTTTCTTGGCATCTTGTTTACATAATGATTCTTCCTGTTGACTTATACAGCGATAAGAGACGTGTATGCTAATCTGGCACATAACGTTATTTGGTGCTATAAATAATATGATTACAAAATTATTGTTATGACCGCCTATTGCAGTGTAGCGGCCCGGCAATGGGCTCTTGTCCCTTTGTCTCTATTACGGGTTGTCGACCATCGTCCTTATCTACACGTGTATCTTGTGTTAGTATCACTCTATATGGAGACCGTTGGGTATTATCACATCAGCTTGTTGCGGCGCGGTCGCACGGTAAGGGCCTCCATTTGCATACAAGCAAATATCTCGATCTACGGGCGCTGTGCGGGCAGATTACCGTCGCAATGCTTCCGCACGCTGTATTGAATTCGGTACCAACGGTCCCGACTCCCATTACCAGTTCACGTTTACTTGTTAGTGTGATTCTCAAATGATAACAATCGGCCCGGTTGCGAGCCGAGCATAATAACAACCAGGAATAGGTCCAACTATCCTTGCAAATAATGATCTATGAAAATAATCCGAAGATTGTAGAGTTGTAAAGGTAATACGGTCGATCAATAAGCCGTTCTCAACATACATTGTTACTGCATTGATGTTTTATTTACTCATTTTAGATTTAAATAAGGAGATGATTTACTACTAAACTATAGGTACTAATACTTAGCTGGATTATCTATTTATAATTTAGAGGTTTGTATTAACATAGACATGAATAATAAATTATTAGCTACACTTAATATATTATACTATTTTAGGCCCCAACTAACTATACTCAATCTTAGCTTACTTCATTGACGCCTATGCGGATCGCATTAGCAACATGTCCGGACGATATAAAGGAGCGCGTAGGCAACGGTCAGTCAGGCACTCTACACAAAATAAAAAGTTATATTAAAATAATTGCTCGTGCATACTCACAGGCGCTTCTTAGAAGTACTAATTTATCTAAATATATTCAAAACGTAACTTTTAATAAAAGTTTCTTATGTAGGTATAATTTAGTATGATTTACGAAAACTCAATTCAGGGATACGTTAAAGCAGTTTGGGCCACAACACGGCACGAAGGAAGCCAGGAGCACAGAGATAACGGGGACATTAGCGCTAGACTTGTACTAACCCGAGGTACACAGGATTCGCCATGTACTAGTATGTAGGGGAAGCAAAGGTACCCAGTAGGGTCAACTGCAAATGCGTGGGAAGCGGGCGCCAGCCTCCATACTCCCGATGCATTAGGTAGGTAGGTTCTATAATCCACCTATATAATTAAACCATATAATAATAATACGTATCCGCTCATGTCAAGCTTCACGTCGCGCGCCGGTCGTTTGGATAGTGGCTTGAATTGCACAGAATTCGATGAGCTTCCTGTAACTACAACACGCATTTTGCTACCTTGTAAGTGGCAACTTGAAAGCTAGACGAGCTAACGGGCTCTTACTACTTACATGCACTTAGACATTGATTGCTAGTTAGCATAATATGTTCTTTGAATTCTAACTTCGATTATACCGCCATTAATATTGAGGCTCTTTGATTTACTTGAAATATAAACAAAATGAAATGGGAATATGTACATGATGGAACATGAGACAAAGCTTTAAAACTAAAGTGGAACAATAAAGTTTCCAATATTGCGAAAGTAGGTAATTGATGTCGGCTTGCACTTAAGAGAGCTATGTCGGAGGTTAAAGACCAAGGATGAGTATTAGGTTAAATATAGAGGGTGGGCGCGGCTGTTGTGGGTAAATAAAGCGTAAGGGGAAGGTAGATAGTAGTTGACAGAGGTCACGTTAGTGCGCCGCCGGCTGTGGGGCTCACCCATGCCCCCTTGACCCACAGCCTCACTGCGCAACCAGCTCCATAAATCGTTGAAGATGACAAGTAACTAGCGACCGCCCGTACTTATAACTGGGATCATACCCTCCGAAATATTTAATAATAGGCAACTATTGTTGCATCCTATGCCAAAGACACAAAGCAATTAAAAAGGAAAGAGTTTAGTATAGTCATACTACTCTTTTCTTTGGTGGTGGCCTAAGGCATATTTATTAATTATTGTCGTGAGACACACTAGATTTATTTAAAATAATTAAAATGCTGCGCGGTTTGAAAAAAATATAAATATATTTATTAAACTCAATTAGATTTATATAGGTAATAGACTCAATTAGATTCATATACCTATTAGATTCATGTAATAAACTTTTTTTAAAAAAGAAAAGAAAAAGATTCATATAATAGTTATTCGAATCTGCACTACTGAATCTAATGAATTTATTTAGAATTTCATTTTCATTCATCAATAACAGAATAAAATACCTCAAGGACCATCGAAAATTCCTCATCGCATAAAAAAGGCCCGGTTACCTATAATAGAATTACCTGCCTATAATAGGTCATAGGATTTATGTTTATTTCTTTTCAAATTGTTTTTTTTTTATTTATTTGTCTTTTTATTCAATAATTGATTTACAAATACGTAAAGCCCACCGTACTCAATGGCACGGCATCCGATCTTTCAAACAAGAGACTCCTATCGGCGACTCGGCGTATATTATTTCAGTTTCTGTTTCAGAAGACTAGGAAATATTTCTTCGGTTCAACAGTTTTTTCTTCTTGTTAAGTTTTCGAGCCTTTCTTCTTCTTCTCTCTCTCCCTCTTTCTGCTCTTTTTCCGCTCTTGTTTTTTTAGCATTGCAGGCCTCCAATGCAGGGCAAGTGTCTAAAAAACGGCATTTTGCTTAAATTTGCTTTTCTTATGCTTTGTTGTTTCACCAGTGTCAGGACAAAATAAATTTCGGAAAAGAAAAGTAGGAAAAATATTCGATGCCGCCAATAAGTTCAATCAATATATTTTTAACCCTTATTTTACTGGTTCTATAGCCCAACCCATTTCTAAAAGAGTGAATTATTCTTAAATCATTTCATATTATCGGGGTACCTATATAACTGGAAATAAGTAGGAGCTTATTGATGGAAGCTTTCACCCATTGAAGACGGCAGTATTTTTATAATTTAAAGTAATTGAATAATAATTAGTAAAATAAGTTAAACAATTTGAACATACATAAAATTAAATATTCAAAATTCACAACCTCTGTTAGATCAACAAGTGTGTGCTGTTTTAATTTAAATAATTAATCAAACAAACAAAACACATTTTGATTAAAATAAAGACGAAACTTTTTACTCACCGCACTAACAACTTCTTTAGCCAAAGATTAATTTTTCAATTTTTCATCACCGAAAAATTTTGAACTCCCTCCACGTTTCTCTGACAGAATGAAATAAAATTTTAAACTTTAACAGCAATATGGCTATAGTCTATGTTGCAGTGTTACCAACATAAAAAGTGGTTCAAGCGGGTTCAAGTTAAGTAAGTTCTGAGATTTTTATTTCCTACTTTTCGTTCATTACTGCTGCGTTTACCTTATCGGCTCATTTGTTTATTTATTTATTTATGAGGAAAGAAAATCACATCACATTGAACTCTTTCTTATATGCTAATATTTTCAAATATATAGTTATACTGACCGTGTAGACAAATATAGATTACTAAAATATAATTTAAAATGTTTTCTGCGTGACTTGCTTAATATTCTTTTCCCATAGACAAGTAGTAGTAGTGAGGTAACCAAGACAATGAATATTAGTATATGTATCCGAACGTCCATCAAACATATGTGTTAGGAACGTCATTGACGTCTATGTGTATGATAAAAATGGTGCCCGTTTACCAGCTGGCATCAAGTCTTTATTGCTAAAGAATTGACATTGTGATGATAAAAATTGTGAAGCATGGCGTCGTCAGTTCTTGATTTAGTTAAACATTACCAGCACGCAATAGAGAAACATCCGAACGACGAGAATAAAGTAAGTATTCTAATAGCACGTCTTCCATTTAGTGTAATTCCCACATAAATTTAGATAATTCCTGAATTATTTTGCATCGCGACACAGCCATTTCAAATCGACGTAAAAAATAAAAAAATATCATGTCCTTGATGAGCAAAATGTCACTAGATCGTATTTGTGTTGTGTTTTGAATTTTAGTATTTATTAGACATACGTATGGTAATTTAATTTCACCAGTTCGACCAACAAAAAGTGAGGATAATGAATTGGAAAATCATCAATATGGGTGTATGTTTATCTTTCAGGTGTTAAGATGTATAGACAAGCTGTTCAACTTGGCTGTGACAGTCCAGCACCTGCAGGAGACAGGGGTGGGCCGCACTGTGAATGCGTTGCGCAAGGAGCCCGGAGAGGTGGGCCAGGCGGCCCGCTCCCTTGTATACAAATGGAAGCTGATGGTGGCCGCTGAGGAGAGTGACACGGAAACAGACACAAACAATGACAGTGAGCCTACATTTTAAACTCTTACATACTTAGTGGAAACAGTGAGCTTTAACTTTATAGTAATGATGATAAATTTATCTTTTATTTTTGTTTACAAACAATACAATAACAAAAGCGTAGCCTTATTTTGGTATTCATCTACTTAACAAACACTCAATTAGTGGTTTGATAAACTTACTTCTCACAAAGCATGAAATGTTGCATGGTCATTGTTATTTTATTAGAATAGCTTAAAATAATCTTGAAACAAAGTTTTAAGGACACTTATAGTATAAAAGTGAATTGTATTTATCATATATATTGAAGATGTATCATTTTAAAGAAACAAGTTTCCATAGATTTGCATAGTTAACATTTATTATTACTTATAACTATTCATAAGGATTTTTGTTCTACACATTTAAATATGTGATAACTCTTAACTTTATTTTATTTGTTTATAAACCTTACCACAATGTTATTTTTTAATCTTGGTAAGAGTATAAACCTTTTGTTATAATTTAAGTTAAATATCTACTATACTTGTATAATTGGGGCAATTTAATTTATGGTGGCATTTCTAGATGAAATATATATTTTTTTAACATTTCACTTCATTTCATTGCTATACCTTTGCAAAACCTTTATTTCTTTGCTTTCCCGTTTAGTTAATTGATAAAATCATATTTGATTTTTTCTTATATCAATTGAACAATGTAAACAAATGTATCTTTTGTTTCATAACATGTAAGATCAACAAACATTCATTTTTATCTATCAGACATAATTTTATAGAGATAGGTACTGTCAATGGATATCTGGCAGGAATGCTTTTAACATAAGTCCTCTTAAATGCAATAATATATAAAGAATAAACCAGTAAAAAATATATACTGTCAATAAAAATGTGTAATAATATAAAGATTATTACTACATGCCTGCCCATCAGTGTTAATAATTCTTTAGAAATTAATTACCTAATTACTAAATTAACTTTTATAATAATAGTTTGAAATTCCCAGAATAAAACAGCCAATGGTATATACTAAGGTAAAAACCTTATAAAAATCATTCACAATAACTTTCCCAAGAAATTACTACTTTACATGTAATATACTAACAGTTTTATTGCCTTAATTATGAGAATAGAATCCATTACTACTAATCACTTGGCCATTATAAAACTGAACCATATTAGGCACTTGCTGTATAATATTATTGCAAATGCATTCAATGCTTATTACTTGCACAGGACACTTCACATTTGTATTATATGAGACTTTGTTTACTTTGATAATTTTTATTCAATAAGTTAAACATGCATATGTGTGGTATGTTTATCTATATAAATTCAGAATTTTAAGTAATGTGCTGTTTAATGGATATTTTATTGAAGAGTTGCATATTTTCATTTCAGGTTCTACTCAGAATGGACATGGTAGTGAAAAAGATTCCGATGATAATGCTCATTCAAGGCATAGGTCTGATAAATATGAGCAATCCAATTCAACCTCGAAATCAAAACACCACAGGGAAACTAATGGGAATTATAGTGGAAGCAAACGGAAATACCACAGCAGTGAGGTAAGCTTTTTCATGACTGTGTATGAACCCTTTTATCTGTGGTTAGAATATCAGTTGCATGTTACAAATGATGTTTATCACTATAAAACACACATAATGTAGTGTCATTTATTTATTTAACTGTTAATATGTGTAATGTTGAATCAATTTTCCTCTATGACTAATGTAAGTAACTCCCGACTGGCTTCTGCTGAATATATATGTAAAGTTATAATATAAATATTCCAGGATGAAGAACCCACAGTAAAACGGTCAAAACAATCTAGTTCTAGTGAGGATGATTATAAAGAAAAGTCACATGTTAAAGTGAAAACTGAGACTGAAAGTGACAGTCGTGATGATAGTGATGCGTCACAGAGTGACGAAAGTGAGTCCGACATGTCCGATTCGTCCCATGAAGAGGTTAAAATCAAACAAGAAATAAAGGTCGAATCCAGTAGTCATAAGACTTCCAAACATTCTTCCCACAATGAGTATATTGATCATAAGTCGTCTAGTTCACACAGAAGTTATGAAGAGAAGTACTCTAAGCATCATAGCTCACAATCGAAAGATAAACATTCTTCTGAGAAGACATCATCAAAAGACAAGAGTCACAGTCACGATAAACACAAGGGCTCAAAAGAAAAAGAAACATATTCTGAAAAGAAAATCAAACAAGAAGGAGATAAAACTCACAAGGAGTCAAAATCATTGAGCAAACATAGTTCAGATAAACATAGCAGTACAGAAAAGCACAGTAGTGCAGATAAACACAGTAGTTCAGACAAACACAATAGTTTGGATAAACACAGTAGTTCAGACAAACATAGTAGATCAGAAAAACACAGTTCTGACAAACATAACAATGTAAATAAACACAGTAGCTCCGACAAACAGAAGTCAAGTAGCTCTCACAAACCAGAGAGTGGGTCTGAGAAAAACAAAAGCTCGGATAAGCATAGTAAATCAGACAAACACAAGAGCTCAAGTCATTCACATAGCTCGGAGAAAGAGAAACATAAAACTTCATCTGACAAAGATGTTGAAAAGTCAAAACACAAGGTTAAAGAAAGTTCTAGTAATAGTAGTAGTTCTAAGGAAAAGCATAGTTCCTCAAGTAAGGAAAAGTCAAAAGATAGAAGTAGTTCTTCTAAGGAGAAATCAAGTAGTCATAGTAGTGAGAAGAAAAATTCATCGTCAAGTGAGAATAAGTCGAATGGTAGCAGTAAGAACCTTTCTGAAAAAAATGATGAGAAAGTAGACAAGAAGTCTAAGCACAGATCCAGTTCCTCTTCACACAAGAGTAAGTCAAGCAGCAATAAGAATGATGAAGTACCAAAGAAAAAAGTTCAAATACAAACCACTGAGGATAGTGATGATGGAATTGACTGTGGCTCAGGTATATATTTCCTTAAACATAATAATACAATGTTTAATATCCAAACTAAATCTACTTCAATAGTTACACAATATATACATTATTTGCATGTTATAGAAAAATTTACACAGTATACTTATTTCCTTTGTAAATAATTAGAAATTTACTTATTGAAATAAATAGTTAATTTGCCCGTTACATGTTACTAAGGAGTTGGTAATAGATAAATAGTGTGTCAATAATTCATCATCATCTTCCCGCCCTTGTCCCGTTTTATTTGGGGTCGGCGCAATATGTGTCAATAATTAATAACTTAAATATTTTTTCAGGTGCCAGTTTTGCAGAAGCTCTAGGAATGATTAGTCCCGCCAAACCTAAAAAGAGAACACTGAAAGACTCTGCTTCACCGAATGATGTAAGCAAACATTTTACATAATATTTAATACAGATATGGAGATTCCTCAAACTTTTCCTGTTATTTTACAGAATTAAAGTTATTTATCTCTGTGCAATTTGCTGTGTAAGGGTTTTCCTTAACAGTCACAAACCACTACCAAAAATGTGATGAATCACATTGGATGGACGTCAAGGGAACAGACAATATTTAGCAGTTCTCTGAGACTTGGGATACCTTATCAACTTTTTCTATTGTCATCCACTCGGCCTTTTTGGAGGTCAAATGTTTTTAATCGAATCATTTCATGGTATTTTACCTGTTTAAGACACTTCTTGAAAAAATATCATTGTAGTAGAAAACAGTACTAGTGCTCTATCACACTCATAGTGACAGATCAATTAGGTAATAACTTTTGCATACTATTCGCCCGGTAAAAACAAATAGTCACAATCTTAATAATTAGAAATTTCAAATAAAAATCCGGGTAACATTCTAAACTAAGAATTGACCAAAATGAGCTATTGAATTTGTAACAATATTTCAATGACACATTCTTCCACAGTTAAGTCCAGCAAGCCTCTTAGCTCCTACTGCGAAACTAGCACCATTACCAGCGCTCGAGATCTCAGCACTACCAGAAATATCGCCTAACTACAAACCACGGCCGCCGCCTCGACCACTGCCACATTTCAACGATGAGGATGCCATGAATCATGTTATATCATCTAAAAACCAAAGGTAAATATAATTTATATACTTAAATAAATAACCCAGACAAATATAATGAAAATTGGAATATTATTGTGCCTTCTTAAATACAAATTCAATTTAAAAAAATTGCAACTATCTTTATCTTAATCGTGTTCCTAGCAATTTAATAATGATATATATATATATATATATATATATATATATATATATATCAATGATTCTTGTGAAATTTTATGTGGTTTTCGCTTTATTTCAGAACAAAAGTATATTCGGGCAACAAAGTCATAGGAAAAATACCCACTCTCTACGAAATGTGTGTTAATGTTCTACAGGAACATATTGATGGTGAGTTTCAATTTTCTGTTCTGTGGTTTCAACCATTTAATTGTTAGTTGTAAAAACTTTGCAATTATTGTGAACTAGCAGTAAAGAGTTGCTGTTTCTTGGCATTCAATGAAACTTGACATTTTATTGCGTGTCAATACTTTTAATTACTTCTGGGCATATCATCTCATATCCCACATTTAATAAGATGAAGATCGCCTTCTCGTTCATCATGTAGCTACTCATTACTATGAGCTCCTGATACGGCTTGAATCTTGTTGGATTACCCCTAAAAGTTACATAAGCCATATAACAAGATGAAGTCTCACGAATAACTATTTCTGTGTCCGGTGAATCACAAATTACTATTTGAGTCAATACTAAAGCTTGACTGTGACATCTGGACAGTAAAAGTAGATGAAAGGACTACTTCAGAAGACTAATAAATCGTTATTAACCTATATTTCAGCACTTGAATATACGGGTGGTGTGCCATACGAAATCCTGAAGCCCGTTGTAGACAAGGCGACTCCACAACAGCTGTTTATATTGGAACATTACAACCCCTACCTGATGGAAGACACCGACCATCTCTGGCAGAAGTTCTGTCAGAAAGATTTCCGTAACAAACAGCGGCAAGAAATGGAAGCCTGGAGAGAAATGTATTCGGTAAGATTGTAAAAGCATTTATTTGAATCCTAACTAGGTGTTGCCCGCGGCTTCGCTCGTGTTAAGAAATATTATTATGAATTAGGTAGTTTTTGGGGCTTAACCTTTGTTTAGTGTGTGTTAAAAAATTAGGCTTCATCTTTAAATTTAGCTCAATCAGACGAAAATCTAAGAAGATTTATACAAACTTTCATCCCCTATTTTATCCCCTTAGAGGTGGAATTTATCAAAATCCTTTCTTAGCGGATGCCTACGTCATAACATCTACCTGCATGCCAAATTTCAGTCCGATCCGTCCAGTGGTTTGGGCTGTGCTTTGAGTTTTATATATTTAGATATTATACAGAAGTTAAAGTAAGTTTGTATGTAGGAGGTAATCTTTAAAATCGCTGGTCTGATAATTAGCTACAATGTTTCTGGGTGCTATATGCTATAATCTATAGAAGCCAAGCAGCGAGTAAAACCGCGTGAGAGTAGCTATTTTATGATAGTGTTATAATATATACAAATCCTTCCTGCTTATTTGTAACATGACGACTCAATTGTTACAGAGATGTCAAGAAGAACAAGAAATTAAATTAAAATCTCTAACGGCGAATATCAAAATAGCTCAAGAAGCGAAGAAGGCGCCTATTAAGCAAACGAAAATGGCGTACGTCGATTCTATTGCAAAGCCGCCTCGCAACATAGCCAAGAAACAGGTAACATGATTTAATAAACTACCTATTAGTTATAACTACTTACAATGTAAATAACATTACCAATGACATAACAAAAACAATAAATAAGTATTAAGAGTTGTTCAATTCGCCAAAGGTATGATCGTTCATTAATTTGATTAGGTGAAATCAAAATGTACATTTGTTATCTAAATATGTTTCTGTACAGGCTCAGCATGGCACAGCGCGGCTGGCGACTGGCAGTCCGGCTGCGCGGGTGGCGTCCCTGGCGGCCGCGCCCAACGTACGACGCGGGGACTCTGGCCCCGTGCGGGCTCTGGCACCCATTCCCTCGTCTACACCTTCCTCCTTTAAACCCAAAAAAGCACCTCTCATGGCAAAAGCCCTACAGATCATGCGTGGACGCAAGCGATGATAATCTCCACCACATCTCCGTCCCCTTTTAATTTTATAGTCCCGCCCCAGAATAGATAGCGAATTTGTATTGAGTTCCAATTAAGTAGTCTCATCAAATGTTCCGAAATCACGGTTAGTGTTTAGTGTTACGTCGCTAAAGTTAATACAACTGTTTTCCCTCGCTCATACGTGTCTGTAAATATATTTATATAAAAACTATGGATTTATCGTGAAGAATGTTTTGTGTTTTATTTTAAATGCAGTAAATGCTTCGATAAGGTTATATCTTACTACTTATGTTCTTGACATTTCGTGGATGCAATTATTGTGGTTTACTTTTTATGTGCTTCATTTCCAAATTGTGTAGGTATAGCTGTTGATGTGATTAGCATGGAAACTAAAATAGTAATTCTAGATTTTCTTTTGACATATCTTCATGTATTTTGTATACGCATTAAAGTTTTGAACAAGAATCATTAGATTATAAACTTTTGTAAAAAGACCGGAGTCTATAAAGTATTTACTCTCGTTTCAACATCACTGTTATACTACCTCGTAGCCAGATGTGCTAAAGTATTTATGTCATGGAATTCCTTTCGTCACATTTTGTTACGCTAACATTTTATATTAGACCTCAATTATTTTTTAAAAAGGAATTTAAACACTGTCATGCGTTTAGTCAACCGATTAAATTTATTTACTTGTTCCTGTATAAAACCAAAAATCTGACAGTGTACAAAAGAAAATCGTGTAAAATATTTAGAACAAAACAAATTTTGAGCTTATCAAACATTTGTAGATTGTAAGTTAGTGTATTTAGCCCTTAATTAATCGGCACTGTAATAATATTGTAAATGAAATACACAAATGTGTATCTGTCGCATTTGATCGTGTCATTAAAGTTTACACAAGAATTCTTAATAGTCAATAATGGGATGTCGGAAATGAACCAAATTATTTGGGTTGCTGTGATATGTTTGAAATATAACATAAAATTGTGATGTAGTGTTTTTGTAAGACGCGAAATGAGTGACTTGTCGAGATGTATCTTAGATGTCTTAAGGTATTTTAAGAATGTTTTAGAAACAAACTTTTGTTTACACTTACTCTGACAAGAGTATTGAATATAATGTTTTATGTGACCCTTGAAACCAAATTTGTGAAGGATGAAATAAAACAACCATTTGTTTCTTGTATATAATGGTAATGTATTGTTATGTAACATCACAAATATCTCTTAGATCAATGTATTAAAGTACACTTTAGGAGAAACAAGTAACTTCCATAGATTAACTACCGAATGGATTATCGATGTTGTAGTCATATTGATTTGAGTAATGTAGAAAAAATATATTTGTATATGAGCACATTAAGGTCACTTACATATTATCGTGTATGTATTGATAAAATAATACTTACCAATAAAAAGTAATCAGTCTCAACAAAAGACTAGTGGATATGTTATCCAATAAGTTCATCTTATTTTTGTCATGTTTTATTAAAATCGCAATTATTTGACACAATTATGCCATTATTTATACAGTGAATTATACTTATGTGGTTTTTATGCAGTCTTTATTTTTAATTCAAGGTACAATGTAACTTGTTACTAATGAACAAAATAATATTACATACTACAATATCATATCAATATAAAACAACCTCAATATTTCGAAATTTCGATTTCAACTGCTTTTCGTAATCAGTGTTTATAATTCTAGGACATTGATACACAGCAAGAAATTTAAGATTCTTATAATATTCAGAGATCACGTCAACTATCACAGGTGAAATATTATCTATTCTTGATAGACTTAAGCTTTCCAGCTTAACTAAATTCGGACTTGCTAAAGTTCTCCTCAGATTCTCCTCACTAAAAACTGTATTATTCCAAATTTGTAAGTGTCGTGTCTTTTTTAAATCTGCCAGTTTGATAAGTCCTTTATCAGTGAGATTTTCACAACGTATTATAGCAAGATCTTTCAACAAATTACATCGCGACAACAATAATAAGCATTCGTCGTCTACAGCGTCACCCCCGTAAATATGTAGGGCGTTAAGAATCTTCATCTTATTAACTATCAACTGCTTCACATAGTCTAAAGTAAGGTTTTTAACTTTTTCTATAAAAATATGGCTTAAATAATGGCACTGAAGTAAACTATCGCGCGTTGCCGCTGGCAAGCCAAAGTCTGACAAAGCTAAATAGTTTAGATACTTAAAATTACCGTAAGGAACTAATACATCGACGTTATTCATTAAAACTAATGAATTCTTAAGATTAATCTTTCTCAGGTCGGACCACTTAGTAATATCCTCTTCAAATTCTTTAGCTATACGACACATTACAAGTTCCAGTGATATGATATTAGGACACTGTTCAATGATTGATTTGATTACGGGGTAACTGTACACATACTGTATTTTGAGACACCTTATGCATTCTCGGTGAGATTTTAAGATTTCCAAGGTTTTCTCTCTTACTTCCGTCTGTCCTGGTTTCCCGGAGAAAACAAAAATAATGCCCCGCCAAAGTGTGAGATCTCGACAAAGTGTCTTCCATCGGCTGCAAACGTTTTCACATTCTAGTATAGACTCTAACGGCAGGTATTTAAAAATATTTATCATCAACTCGTCTGGTAGAATATCTATTGCATTTAGAGTTACTTCATTTGATGGGTCGGACATTGCTGGAGATCTAGAAAAGATATAAAATTAATGATAAGTATAGTACCTATTACAACTATTAAACTTATTTACAACAAAAATTTATTATGGTAGGTAGCTAGACAGACACAAAATTTAACTATTGAACCGTGGTGATTTGAGACACAATAGAGGAACAATAGGTGTACGGAAGCCGGCGTCGGCTTGGGGTTAGATGAATTGAATGTTGGTATTTTTTCATAGTTTACACGAAATAAAACTTACCGAAATATTCACTTTGGTGCGGTTTAAAATCTAAATTATTTACACTGTTGCAACGTTAAAATGCAAATCATTTGAAATAAGTATTCCGTTTACTAAATTTGGCTCAGATCGTAATTATTTTGCGTATTTTGCTTTCTCCCTCCACATCTTCAACACGTGTGATGGAGAGGGGATGCATCCATCTACCTAGCTAATACTACGGAATATTTACAAATAGGTAATTCAATGAGTTTTCTATTGAATCAACCGCAGATTATTGCGGAATAGTAATGAATTAACATCAAAAACTAACACATTCAAAATTACGCTACATAATATTATATCTAAATTAAACAAACACTGTAATGCGTCCTTTCTTATTACTAGTACTACTACTGCTACTATGCTGATACTGACGCTGAGCATAACAAACACACACATTATCTGGAATGTGACAGCCGGTATCAGTCGACTGTGTTTTATTTTAGTCGATTGTTAGTCTATGATGTTCTCACTAAAGTTGCTCATTCATAAACAATTAAATTTTGTAGGGACAAAATAGCGATGAAGCTGATGATATAATATATAATAACCTATTTTGATTTTGTAATTTAAAATATTTCTAAAGTGCGTAAAATTATTAAATATAAGCAACAATCAAATTGAGAAAACAAACAAACAAATGCGAGTTAAGCATACATATTACTTAACAATTAAATGCTAAGGCTAACCAAACTAGGTCGTAGGTGATAAAGATAGTATCTACTACTTCCTTGTAAATATTTCTTATAAGTTGATACCTGGTACTAATCTAAGTACTTTATTAAGTGTGGTAGCCTCACAAATTTACTCAGCCCTAACGATTAACGATTCACGATTCGATGAGTGTTACCAACTTCACAGCGATGCGATATCTTACTCAATATGCCCAAGTGGGAGCGAGACCAAATATCCGCATCACGACTTGGGGCCTTTTTATTTTTTGCCGTACATCGCTTTACTTACTCAGTGAGTCGGATTCCGTCGGGGCGGGTCGTCACTACATTCTGTTATAACACTACATAGAAATTGTGTATTATACATCTAGTGTAGAGTAGGGCGGCCCGATTATTAACCCGACCGACGTACTTAATTAAAACAGTCACAATGCTTCACCTTAAGAACATTGCCAAATCGGTGGTACCACCTCTAAAGAATACCATCCAGAACGAGGCAGTCAAACTAACGCCTGCTGCTGTAAACGTATGCTGCCGCACATACGCTAGCCATGAAATACCAGACAGGCTTAAGGATATTCCGACCCACGCAAACCCAAGGTTCTTCGACATGGTGGAATACTTCTTCCACAGAGCCTGCCAGGTTATCGAAGACAAACTGGTTGAAGATATGAAGTCGAGAGTTCCCATTGAAGAGAAGAAAAAGAAGGTTGCCGGTATTCTGAAGCTGATGCAGCCATGTGACCACATCATTGAAATCCAATTTCCCCTGAGGCGCGACTCCGGCGATTACGAAATGATCCTAGGTTACAGAGCGCAGCATTCCTCACACAGGACCCCAACCAAAGGAGGTAGGTGTCATTATTATTCGTAATTCGCCTAGCTTTGCTTACATCACCCATGTATACTTATTGTTAATAGGAAGTTTTATTTATAGCCCCGGAGACACGTGATGTTACTGTACGTAATGTTATATTACCAAAAATATTTTCTCATACAATATTCGTTTCTGCTTAAGATATATACCTACACTCTAAAATCGCTTAGCACCTACAAGATACATTCTAATTCTAGTTCTAGCCAATCTATTGAATAGTATAAAATTGTACTAATTAAAAATGACATAAAAACCTGCTTGCTGTGTCACATGTTAGTTTAACCTGGCCGAAATATGCCATTCACCTTGATTGAGCGATTTTATTTAGCCATGTAGCCGTATTTAACCTAAAAATAAGTCGTTCTTTCCTATTATTACTTTGAGCTAACGATGAATGAATACCATTCTATAGAGCTATATTTTATACATAGATGATAATGCCAACAAAATTGTATGTCATGCCACTTCCAAATCACGCCACGGATTATTATCTAAGCAGTTGTGGTATGTGATAAAAAAAATAGTTTGCCTTTGTTACACCGGTTTTGCGATCAATTTTGACGTCTTCTGCGAATCCGAACAGTCTGTTGTTAAACTTCATTCTAAAGTTGCATTAACAACAATCAATTCCAGACATACCTACCTACGTGTTTGTCGTAGGAATTGAATATGCATCATATGGAGAGTATTTGCGTTACATAATTACCAATTGTAACCAATTTTACTGAGAAAGGGATAGATCAGCAATCGGTAAAATTGGTAGGTAAATTAAAAGTATAAGTAGCTATAAAAAATAAAACATTAACTTATTAAAAATTTTAAGTTAACCAATTTATTATCTTACAAATTAGGTACATACTTACTAAGAAAAAATTAGCTACCTAATACTCCAGATTTGCTCTTTTGGTATTTTAGAGGCCTTTAAGGTAGGGCTAAAATTATGTAAGGACCTTTCAAGTGTGACGTCTGAAGTAAAAAACCAACCTTCGCCAGTCTCGATAAAAAATCTGTGAGCATTAAGTAACTTGTGTTGAAAAACTTAATCGATTCACTTCTAAATGTTGCGAATATTTTTCATGAAATTCACATAAATAGCCTCGAAAATAATACCTACATGTAGGTACGTCTACTTAGTAGGAAATTTATTGCTACTTTATTTTAGGGACAACGATTTTACTAAATTAATATAAGTAGCTAACGATCTTCTTTGCAGTACTACAACCAGTTATGTGCGTTCCAATTAGAAAACATCGTAAAATATAATACAGTAGTCAATGCATACTCAATGTGAAGGTTGCATGCTCTTTTGAATGTCTCCTTTATGCTTAAGTATCATGAACACAGCTGTTCAATGAAACCAATCCAAACTGGTCATAACCTGTTTTCAAGGGCCATCGTTTGTTGACAAAAGGAACTGCACTATTCATCAGGTACCAGATGTTAAATGCGTTAAAAAATTAACCATCAATCGTATTTTTTCATTTGTGTTGCTGCGTTGTAAAAGTGTAGAACCTGGTACCTACTTAGATCACCCAACCGGAGTTGTGGGGCTAGCCCAATAAGGAACCACGGCCTCGGTCTAAAGGCCGAGAAGGAACGGAGGAGTTTTTAGTCAGTAAAAGTCTGATACTCCCTTCCTTAGGCGAGAGAAGTAATTTGATGACATTCCCCTCACAAAAAAAATCCTATATCACTATAGTAATAGCTATCGCTTCTTTGAAGTTTCAAGTAGTGTAGGTATAAGAAGTGTTGCGGTGATTATATTATGGGTTATAATTATGAGCTAGCGTTCACATTAGTTTGTACCTTCCCTACAGACAAATCTTTATAAAAAGTCTTAACTGCATTCAGTCCTTCTAATTAATCTATACCTCCTTGTAATTAACCGTTATACAACAGGAAATAAAGAGACCATTGGAATTAAGTACGAGTATAACTATTGTTTCTCGTGAGAAAATATAAACTACTTACTTACCTGCTATAAGTATTTTTAATTAATTTAACTATCGTAAACTCCTGATCTGGATTCACCAGATTCGAGTCATTATTTCCTTAGGTACTTTTCGGGACAGTAAGTTAGTATTTTCGCCCCTTTAAGAAACATGTACGCAGCCCGTACAAACTTGCCGTCCTCCTGCTAACGACAGCATCGGACTCAACACCTTTGATTTTTATTCATCTCATTCCTTACAAAGCTATAAGATAGGAATTTTGCCTTACAACTGCAGTAATATTAGATACAAATTATATGACACGAAAATGGCTAAATCCTAGACTAAATTGCCATCATCTTGAAAAGGGTTCTTTTGTTAGGCATTTGAAAGGAAAAATTGTTTTATGATAATATATGTATACAAAAGTACTTAAGCATTAATATATTATTTTTCCTGCAATGAAATGACTCCTTAACATTTAGACATAAGGAATACATATGGAAAATTGAAAATGAAATAGCTAACGAAAAAAATCGTTCTTCTGAACAATTTCCTACTTATCTACCTCTTCGGTCATTGCTTCTATAATATAATATGTCCTTGTCTAGGTTTTTTTTATTATTGTTACGCGATTCCTCGCCCTTTTTCTGCAGTAATTTCGGTTCATTAAACTCTTTCTCGAATCTACTTTTATTATTTATCAATGGTTAAATGCAACCATTAATAGATAGCTTAGAAGATTCATACTTAGTTTAAAAGTCAGGTCAGATACTTTTGCTATTTGCAATGCCGATGTCCTCCATATACCTACGTATCCAAAAAGCGTAGGGTTTCTCGTACGAACGTTCAAGTTGTTAGGTCTGTATTAAAAAAAACTCTTGCCGAAAAACCTGAAACAAAAATTACATAATTTTAAAAATAACTTAGAAATTAAACTGAAATCAATAATATAGAATTGCATATTTTAGCTTTCTTTTCGCTAAAGTAACCTATGCCTAACTTTAAAAATTCTGCCCGAACAGGGAAATTATTTTAATTAACGCGTCGTAATCGACAACCAGAAACGAATTGCCAAAACTCTTTACTAATGAACAACATAAAATCTTTGATTGTTATTGATATTGAAATAACACACACAAAACAGTACCTTATCGTATTGCATTTGCAAAGAAAATGTATTAAATAGTAACTGTCATGATATAAATATAAAAAATAGCCTTATAGCTATTAGCAGTTTTGCAAAATATAGTTTAGGTACCTACTACCTATATTTTTTTTACTCAAGCAAGAGTGAAAACGCTATTCTTCCTTGAAATATAGAAATGAGTTTTCAATTAAGTATTATTAAGTTATAAGTATATAAACCTACTCAAGTAGCCATTGGCATTGTACTTACTGTAAGTAGAAACTTATGTACTTACTGAAGGTAAAGACCTCCTCCATTTCTCTAGGTCTGCTGATGATTTTCTTTTTCATAAAGTATAAATCTATCATTCGATTTTTAGACGGATGTATCTTACCCGCAAATGTTTGGTGGATAGATGATTAGATGAACGTTTACTTAATTTGCCACGTCAAAACTGCGGAACGGATTTAAATGAAATTTGGCATAGAGAAAGGTACTTATGGATACGAAAACAAACATAATATAGCGTACTTTTTACCCTGGTACTACAGGCGAATTCGCTGTCAAGAGCTAGTGAATGATAATTATACGGCCTAAGCAACATTAGCATTAAAAATAACAAAATTCTTGAATGACCTGTTTTCCGCTTATCTTGTCTAGGCACATATCAATTGGGGCCATATGATTCCCGCAGTCATTCTCAAATTAAAAATTAGAGATTTAACATTATTATAAGCAAATATTTGTGCAGCCATATCGAAAGAAAGAAA